ATGACCCTCAAGCTCCCAGGCCTCTGTTAGAGGTCCCGAGGAAGGAAGGAATACAAGAGTGGGGGCCGAGCAGGGAATTTTATATATATATATATATATATATAACTTCCTAAATGTAACATCTCCTGGTAAAGTCGTGGTAGTAATACATTAAGTTGGATTTATAGCAATCAAGAGTTTTTAAAATTAAGTTGCTCCTGGCTGTCGTTCAGTTTTTTGGCCATGTGTAACACTGACCTGTATCGAAAGTCACTGAACAACTTTTTAAAATCTGTATTTCTTTGTTAAAAACACCATGCACCATTAAACTGTCTAATCATTTCTTGAAAGTCAACTTCTGGTAAATGTACTTGAATAATACTCAAGGTTATTAAATGCCATCTGTAACACTGGGTGCTGATCTGCTTAGGATTGTTTTTACGGCTACACTATCCTTGTATTTCCATATACCCATCATAGATTTAAAAAAAAAATCCTAATCTGATGCTCTAAAAGATGTTAAGGCACCAGTATGCAGAGGTCCTGCTGGTAGCCCCAGGAGTCATCCAAGTCGTAATAGCATAAATTGGAGTTTTAAAGTGACCTTTATAAGCTGTTTTTAACCAGTTACACCCCCTCCCCCCCTTTATGTTAGAATGATTTTAAAATCTATTCTGGATTTTACAGGGAACCAGGGGAGAGAAGCTAATATGGGAGAAATATGATCTCTCTGTCCTCTCTCTCCATGCATCTATATGCCACCATTACATGTCACTAACTGTGTGTCCTCTGTCTCTCCCTGTACCTGTAGGTTGCCCTGGCTCTGGTATTTTTCAGAGTTTACAACCAAGAAATTACAAGCCAGGCAGTCATCACTTTGCTGTGTATTTGAGCTGACCAGACTTGATATGAAACTGCCTGAATATGTTCATAGCCATTGTTGATCTGTCAAATGTCATTTTAAGAATCTTCACACACCACCTGCCAAAAGCTGTGGTCACTTAATACGTCAGGAATTAAATAAGCAATGTTCATAATGTAGAGCAGAAGTATCACAGACTGTCTGCAGTGTATGACAACTAGGCCTGTGTAATGTCCTGTGATCTAACTGCCTACAGCTTCTCTGACTGATAGTCACCATCAACCACACATTTACTCTGTTAACAGAATCAACCTTCATAGTGCAACTAATAAAAACAGTAACTGCAATTATACAAGAAATAATACATCTCCATAAAACATCACGATGTTGATCCAGCTTCTAAACCAACCAGCTCTCAGATCAGGTGAGAGCCAGTCGTCTCCCATCATGCCCTGAGCTCTTGCAGTCGGTGGAGCTACTGCTGAACTGCTCAGCAGAAACGACAAAGCTTTTACTGTGAAATTCCAAGCCATGTCTGCGTGTCTGCTTTGACAATTTTCACATGAAGACAAAAAGGAAAATGAGCACATTAACCACACAATTTTATTTTCTCAGAGCAAAACTGCCAACTGACTTAAACAATGCCCACCTACTTAGACACATTTTTCAGATCAAATTCAGCCTTTTTGTAAAATTCTAAACACATTTTCATTTACTAAAACACAGTTTGCACTGTGATGCATAATGGAAATCACAGGTGACAGAAATCAAACATAGCTGTCAGAGCTTTCACAGTACGACTCAAAACTATTCACACTTGCTGCTAATGATGTGTTGGAACCAAAATAAGGTCTGAACTTGGCAAGAGTGAGTTGGAAGTTGATACCAACAGTGGATGAACTGGATGGAAACACTCTGACAGGCACAGGAGGAAGTGTGCGTGGAAGACGTGGCGTACCAGGAGGAAAAGGGACGAGGCCAGGGAGGATGTTGCCTGAGATGTGAATGGCGTCCTCTGGGCTGCCCCAGCACAAAGACATGATACTCAGTCCAAATGCTGATTTTACAGTTACTGTACATTTACAGCGTTCTGTAATGTGTTTTTCATTTACATTTCGTCTTGGCCTTTTGCAAGTTCTCAGTCCACCGACATTCAATACTGTTTTGCTTGCAGTACTTACAGTAGGCAGCACCTAAGCTGTTACTGAGTTGACTTCTTGAAAACATAAAATGCATTTACTTAATTATAAACAGTAAAAAGAAAAATTCTTGAGCTACAGGCCGTGAACACTGTCCATTTTTTTAATGAATAAAAACCAGTAGATTTGTAATGTTCTACTTACAGAACATAACTTGCATAGATAGGCTTGACAGACAGGAAAACACATTTTCTTTACAATAATAGTCTCCTGAACAAACTGCTGGACAGTTTTAAGCCATAGTGGTAAAAGGTAAACTAAACAAATCTACTCGCAGGCCACAATTATCTGTTGATTCTTTCTCACCCGCTCTGCTTGATTCCTGCGGTGTCAACAGAACAGAAAGAGAGAGAGTGTGACAGAGGGCAGGAGGATGAGATCTGTATACGTGCAGGGCTGCATTAGTCTGTCTTACACAGTCTGGGAGATTCCAGTCAGCTGCATTCAGGACACTGACCATGGCAAACACTACACTGTTTTTCAGTCCCTGGGACATAACACAAGTGTCAAGTGGTCATTAAACTAATGATTTACTGGCATTACTGTAATAAGCAGAGAGAGGTTACTGCTACACATGTCATTGTGCTATGTTGAACAAATACACGAGTCCAAATACAAAAATATTTTATGGATTCACAGGGGTGTGGTTTTCAGCTAAGTTCAGTTAGTCATCACATTTCACTGTGCGTTGTAAGTTATTTTGAGGCAAAATACCAGGATGTTAGTGCTACAGGACACAGGATGGGAACCTGTTGGGGTTATTTAATGATGCAGGTGTGTGAATGTGTGTGTTTCCGTTCTTGTTTTTTCCTTTAATTATGGTCGACTTTCCTTTTGATATCCTGGTACATGGGTGCCTTTTTTTTATTTTGAGGTGACTTGTTTTCTCAGACCATAAATTATGCCAGTGACACTGTTAAAGCCTACATCACAGGTGGTTTGCACAAATGTGTACTATCATACGTGGGTTATATCACGTATACTGTAATCAAGTCAATGTTAAGCTTTGTGGGCTATATCATTCTTGCAATAAAATCTGACAGCTATGGTTGCTTAAGAGAGGTGAAAGGGATTGGATTATTTCTTGTCAACTTTCCTTGCTGTGTATGACTTGAGCCCACTCATTTAACAGTGAGTGGGAAGAATTGCACACCACCTTCCCTTAATTTTTCATCCTTAAACCAGGTTGATCTTTGGTCAACTGTGCTCTGGAATAACAATGTCATACTAAACCAGTAAAGATGTGCCACATATTCATATCAGCAGCAACAGGACAAACAGGACATGCTGCGCATCCTTGTCGGACTGGGAAGCTGACAGACCTCTGTGTCCCGACTCCCACCTGTAACTGGATTCTGGACTTCCTGACTGAAACACCACAGGTATTTAGAATGGTGGGGAGGGTGTCTGCTGAGCTCACAATCAGCACAGGCTCACTGCAGGGCTGCAGCCCCAAACTCTTGGGCTTAAAATCCACCCATGATCTATACCGCTTCGGACTGTGGGAGGAAATCGGAGTACCTGGAGAGAACCCACGCAGGCACAGGGAGGGCAGGCAAACAGAAAGGCCCCGGGTCGGGCCAGGCTCAAACCCTGAACCTTCTTGCCGTCAGGTGACAGCACTAACCACTGCCTCACTGTGCCATCCTGGACTTAAAATATTTATGTTTATTTCACCCACCTTCAAATTAAACACCAAATAAATGTGCATATTTTATACAGTGTGACAGATTTTTCATGACTTACAAATCATTGTTAGTTTTCTGTTTGACTTCTTTACTAATTTAGAGTTTTACTTTACTTAGTTAACTTAGAGGAGATTTTAAAACCCATCAGATTGACATGTGATGAAGACTTTATGGTGTGCAGGAACTTATGCATTTACCCCAGTAATCAAAATATCATGTCAACAAACAGAGCCCCCCAGGATGCCACCCTCCCGGACAGCCTCAACAAATTCTATGTGAGGTTTGACAGGTTGAACATAGACACACCCTCAAAATCCCCCTGCAACCCAGGGGACACTGCTTTTCAGGTGACGCACACACAGGTCCTGAAGGCCCCGAAACAGGTAAACCCCCATAAGGTGGCGGGACCAGATGGTGTACCCCCAGAGTGTTGAGAGCCTATGGGGATCAACTAGCTAGTGGGTATGCAGACATCTTCAACCTGTCCAAGCAGTAGTTCCTCGCATTTTCAAAAAATCCATTATCATACCGGTCCCTAAGACATCAGACACATCCACTCTGAATGACTTCAGGTCAGTGGCACTCACATCAATCGCCATGAAGTGCTTAGAAAAACTAGTCCTCACACACTTTAACCACATGGTCCCAGACACTGAAGACCCTCTCCAGTTTGCCTACTGCCCTGACTGATCAGTGGACGACGCGACGGCTCTGGCTTTATTCCACACCCTGAAACACCTGGACAACAGCAGTACGTATGCTAGGATGCTCTTCCTGGACTACAGTTCTGCATTCAACACCATTCACCCAGGCAGGCTGACTGGGAAGCTGACAGACCTCTGTGTCCTGACTCCCACCTGTAACTGGATTCTGGACTTCCTGACTGAAAAACCACAGGTATTTAGAATGGGGGGGAGGGTGTCTGCTGAGCTCACAGTCAGCACAGGCTCACCGTAGGGCTGCGGTGTCAGCCCCAAACTCTTCACCCTGTAAACCCACGACTGTGTCACCAACCAGGAGGACACCATCATCATTAAATATGCTGATGACACCACCATTCTGGGCCTCATCAAGGGGGGAGGTGGGTCAGGTTACATAAGCTTGGTGAACAACATTCTTGTTTATGGAGAGGAGAATGACCTCATCTTCAACATAAACAAGACAAAAGAAATAATAGTAGACTTCAGGAAGAACCCGTCTCCTCTGCTGCCTCTGACCATAAAAGGGATTGAGGTGAAGAGGGCTGACAGCCACAAGTTCCTGGGCCTACAGGTGACATCTGACCTGAGCTGGTCACTGAAAACAGCTGCCACAGTGAAGAAAGCCCAGCAGTGGCTATACTTCATCAGACGGCTCAGAAAAGCTGGGTTGAACCATCACCCTCTCACCCAGGCTTATAGAGGACTGGTAGAGAGCGTCCTCACCACTGGCATCACAGTCTGGTATGGTAACACCACACAGGCAGAGAGGAAGGCTCTTCAAAGGGTTATAAAGACTGCAGAGAGGATCATTGGGACTGAACTGCCTGCTATGGACTGTACACACAGCGTTGTCATAAAAGGGTGGAAAACACACTCAGAGGTCCACGCCACCCAGGTCACTCCCTGCTCAGACACAAAAACTGCACCTATACAGCCTCAGGCACAGCAGGGTGGACAGTATCGTCACACACAGAACAAGACTTTACAACAGCTTTTTCCCTGCTGCAGTAAGACTGATGGCAAATACAAAAATGTGAGAAATGTGAGAATATATATGTGCAATAACCCCTTACTAGACATGCACAATAATAATACAGAAATGTTCCACAAGGTATGTTTGTAAAAGCATCTCATCAACAGTGTTCTCTTGTAGGACCTAAATAATAGCAGGACATTCTCTACCAAGCAATGGAAACAGGCCTGAATATAAACTGTGTTTTAACAGAACACAAGGGTTAATATGTTATAACCCCTCACTACCTCACCAAGCGTAATGACATATCCAACTCCACCATGTGAATTACTAATTGCAATGTTTGAAGTTCACTGGGGAAAATACTATTACCCTATTTTTGTGTATTGCAGTTTTTAATAATTTGTCGCCTTTATGTAACTTTTTTATTTTAAGACTAATTGTTCTTTCTGGCCTTTGACTCCTTACCTGACTCCAAAGGAGAGCTGCACAAGAATTCCTATATGCGTAGACTGTCTGTTTATGCATAAATGGCAAATAAAAATCTTGACTTGACTTGAACTGGGTTGAGATCTGGTGACTGTGAAAGCCACAGCTTATGATTCACCTGCATCAAACCATCCAGTGACCTCTTGTGTCCTGTGCAGGGGACACTGTCATCCTGGAGGAGACCTGTCTGTATATATTTACCTACCCAACCAAAAAGGTCTAATGTAAATATACTGGCTCCACTTCAACCAACTACAAAATGTTACAGTATTTAACCCATTAACACTCATTATACACATGTTTATGCATACTTGTGTTTTTACTGGGGCATTGCTCATTTTACGAGGCAAAAATTGTAAATATTGCAAAAGGTAGTATTCATTGACAGGGACTGTTTCATTGAGGTGTTGTCTTTTATTCATTAACCATTTGCATAAAAATTCTTGGGAGCCTTTTATTTTACACACTTTGTAGGAGAAAACACTTTAATATCATATCATCTATGCCATTTCAAAATCTTTATAGGCTATGTAGAATAAGAGTGTTGCTGGTCGGCCTTACCAGCAAGTCACGTGACTTGTGTGCATGTAAATGACAATGGGGAGTTGAGAGAGACAGGGAGGAGGAGGAGGAGACATACACAAACTCAATGACCTAACGCAGAACTCTTTATTTTGGTGTTAGAGGAGACCTTGTGCGGTTCAGAGCATCTCCCCCCGACACCCCCCAGAGGGTTTAATGTGTCGGACCGGCGTTGGTTCCCGTCACCCTTTGGATATCATTTATAACCGACAGAAACATCGGACGGTACGAGCACACGGGCAAGGCAATCCCGGAAATAACAGGCGTACTCTCAGCCTGTCACGTAGGCTTACTCAAGATTTGCATTGCTGTAGGCTGCCGTAGGTAAGGGTACTGTGGTCTCTCGGAGGAATATTTTACTTGCTTTTTGACGTTACAAGCTTCTTATTTCGCCCGTTTCACTCGTAGAAACGTGTTAAGAGTGAATGAGTATGTTGCCGTAATGTTATGGTAAATGTTTGAGGGACCTGCGGAAGGCGGTAATCAGTATAGCTTTAAGACAAAGTATTATACAAGTGTTTTATTTTCACCGCAGGCAAATAGAAATGGTAACGGTAGAAGCCTGTATTTCAAACGGCAATGCTGTAGTCTTTCAATAATTAATAAATGCAGTCCTGTTTTGGCCTAAATAACTCGGTGAAAGTGGGGGGTTTTATGTTGGCCTTTATTTTCTAGCATGTGTCATTCTTTTTATTGATTAACACTCAGCTATAGAACTGAGCCCCTTAGTTTTGATCTAATAGCTTATGGTTATGACGATGACAGTAGAGACTACAACACTGTTACTTTGCACAGTTCTCTGCCTAATTTGTTTTCAGCAGGCCCATATTCACCATATAATACTGTAGATGTTTTCTTCAGCTCACTGACAAGTGGCCTGCGCTTTGCTATTAATAGGCCTGAAGTGTATCATTTTACTCTCCACAGATATATACACAGATTCAACATGTTTATAAGACTGATAAAAACAAACACAGCCTGAGAGTATTACATGAGACTAATGGGTAAAATAAAGGCAAGCAGAGGACGTGAAGATGAAAGTGCTTCTCTGGCTGTGGCAGAGCTCCTCTCCATCAGAGTCAGCAGCGGCTCAGCTACAAAATGAAGCGAGGACGTGAGCTACGTGCGCATCCAGCAGACGAGATGAAATGGAGAGCTTGGGACACGCGGACCGTTTAAACCCCAGCTCCTCGTGCGTATCCGTTCCAGTCTCACCGGAGAGAAGGACGAGTGGAGCGGAGAGTCAACACACGCACCGAGCGGACATGGGGCTCAACGGCTTCTGCGCGGCACCGGTCGGGAGTCCAACGGCCGCGGAATTACTCGCGGGGCTGGCTTCTCAGACCGACTCCCCTGGAATCACCACACCGACGAAGCTGGCCAAAACCGGCGTGCCGCTCTACAACGGCGGGGTGGTGTCCCCACCTGCTACCGAGGGGAGCCACCCACCGAACGGTTACCCGGCACAAATGAAGGGGGTGGCGGAGGTACCTGGCGGCCCCGTGTACCCCTTCTTCAGTAAAGCCGGTTTGGTGGAGAACGGAGATTGGACAGTTCATGAGAAGTGCCCTTTATTGATGCGGAGGATCAATGGTGACCTGAAAGCCAGACAGGTGCAACAACAGAAACGAAGAGGTGTGGACAAGGGCTCAGAAACTTTCAATGGTCTCAAAATAGGTTCACCAGAGTTAGGAGACTGTGAGGATCCTGGTTTTGCTTCAGGAGACTCAGACTTCAAGCGAAGAAAGTTGGTAGATGGTGGTGGCGCTCTCAAATCTCCAGAGGCCTCCAGAGTGGCCCGAGCAGTTGCCCCACTCACGGTCGCTGTCAACGGCTCCCATAGCAGCCAAATGACTATAAATAATGTGCACTGTGTCACTCCCCAGTCTCCCTTAACCCCTCCTGCCCCTCATACTAACCAGCACAATGAATATAAGATGGCTTCATCAGGCCCGTCAGCTGCACCCAGCCAGACCTCCCTTGTGGAGGCTAAGAGCATCCCTAACCCACCAGCTCCTGCAGGACCTGGGCAGTCAGCAGAGCGCATTGCCCAGCAATACATTATCCCCTGCATGAAGTACTATGGCATCTGTGTGAAGGACAACTTCTTAGGCCCTCAGCTAGGAGATAGGGTCCTGGAGGAGGTGGAGGTTCTAAACCGCAGTGGGAAATTTCGGGGCGGGCAGCTGGTTAGCCAGAGGAGCATTCCCTCTCAGAGCATCCGGGGAGACCAGATCGCCTGGGTGGAGGGACGAGAGCCCGGGTGTGAGAGCATCGGGGTGCTGATGGCTCGTATCGATCAGGCCGTCATGTACAGCGCTGCCAACGGACAGCTGGGGGACTATGTCATCAATGGACGCACTAAGGTAAGAAGAGTGTGGGGACAGCTGGGGGTCATGGGCGAGTCATTTTTCAAGCTATGTGCCGTTGAAAACAGGCTACAAGAGAAGCCGATGTCAGTCTGATGACATTATTATTATTTTTTTAGCAGGTTGCAGGTTGTTCCTTGTCTGTTCTGCTCCATTTTTGCTTTTCTAATGCTGATGTGCAGGCATATCACCCAATTGCACCTCAGTGGGAGAATGAAGTGTCAGGATGTGCCCTGCTGTATTTGTGGTACACATGAGCTTGATACAGGGGGCCGTGGGCTGAGTCTTGCCACTAACCTGGCCCTGTGCCTGGGCTTAGGCCCACCTATGTTTGCTCCTATCCTTGCCTTCATACTATTGTCACCCAGAATAAAAAAAACTCCGGGGCTGTATCTCCTCTGCCATCACAGTGTTGCTGCATTTGAAGACAAAAATTTCTCTCACTGTTTTCACCTAAACAAACATGGAGATGGCTGGATACAAAAAAAGTTTTTGTTTGTTTTCTTTGTCATATAGCTTCTGCCATGTGAGATGCATTTTACCGTGACTACATGACATGCCTCAGTTTTTCCTTTTCAACTTCTAATTTTGAAATGTCATGCACCACTTGCAGCTTATAACAGTTTTAATCCCTTTTTGTCATAGTCCACAAATGGCAGAGGCATCTGTTTTTGTGCTCTGCACCTCCTACTCCTTGTAGCGATAAGACATGATATTAAACCACCCTGAATTTATTTGTACACTCTTGGATCTGACTAAAAATTTCCACCCCTGTGGTAATGCACAACAAACACTGAGTTTAAGTAACTTGTCAGTCTTTATCTATTTGTGTCGGTGGCACTGTAATCTATGATACAGCAAGTGTTTTTAAGGTACTAGAAGTGTGTTTAGTTGTGTGTGTGTGTGTGTGTTAACCATTACATGCCAGTCTAAGTTACCAAACGTGTTGTCAGTGTACCAACAGCCCCTCTTGATCAGTCGAGATTTACTCTATAACGTATCTAGACAGTTCAGATTGGTGTGGTTTGAAACATTTGCCAGTATCAGGATTTAATAAAGGTTGGTTCAGTTTTTAAATTGCAAATTTAAATTGCAAATAAAAAAAAATTGTGTGAGTGAAGTTATAATATTGTAAGGTTTTTTTTTTTCTTTCTTTCTTTCATTATTGTTTCACAGTTTTACACACATCACGCCGTGTCAAACTGCTGTTCTGTCCACTGGGGCTATCGATCAATGCCATGTGTGATCTGAAAAGTAGACACAACATTGCTACTCCCCTGCTACTCCCCATGAGGAAATTATGTGAAAGCTCTTGCCCGCAAGCTGGCTATCTCTGCAGTCTTTGATTTGGCTGAGCTATAAATGAGATTATTGTGCAAATGCTTAGCAATAGAGATGTAGCACTTCTGTTGCAAAGCAGCTGTTATTCATATGAAATGACTACAACTAAGTTAACACACAGGTATAAGAATTAATTGATCTAAAACCATCTCCCATCAGCATTAATGTGCAGTTTGAGTCTTTGTCTACCCATCTACACGTTTGATATAACCGTCCACAGTATTTTCACCGTGTATTGGTCCCATAAACTTGTTCACCCCTTCGTGTACAATCTCACATAACACCTGTTCTGTGCTTTGATGAAATTGCAACAGAGCGGGAAAGCTAAGTGAATATAAAGGAATGATTGTGCTAACATATGTCTAATTTTTTAAGATTTAAGGTTGTTTTTTTTTTGTTTGTTTGTTTTTGAGGAACTTTTGCCTTCTCTTGACTTGCTTTATTTTTTTGCTGTACACACAATGGCATCTTACTAAGGAGGAGCTATAAAAAATCTCTTCATTACTGAAGTGGTGAAATCCATAACACATCAAAGGTGTCACTTCAGTTTACCTGCCTGTTGTTTAGGAAATTCACCTTCATTTTAAACAAAAAAGTAACTATTTGATCACAGGTATCACCAGTGCAGACCTTTATGAAGTGAATATGAAATGTGTTCATTCAAATTTGTGTCATTGTTTATATCAGGAAGGAACTGTGTTTTAGAACTGGATTAATTTACTTTGGTTGTTAAATTAGCCTACACAATTTTAGTCTACAGCATCTATTGTTGTTTACCTATTGCCTACTAAGCTGTTCACCTTCTCTGATTTGGCTTAGCAGTGACTGAGTGATTCTCAGGTAAAAATGTTAGATCGCCAAGTGCCAACTGTTCTGTTCCGTCTCTTGCCAGACTTGATTGGCCCTTGGTAACCTGCTACATTAAAAAAAAAAGGCTCAGCACTGCACAGTACAAAATGTCCTGGCTGGATGTGGAGAAAATAGTATAGTTATAGATAGCTGACAGTGTGCATAAGAGAGAGGACGGAGAGGAGTTGGAACAAGCCAGAAGGTCACTTCGTCGTCTTTTCCGTCCTTCTCCTCTTTGTCTAGCATCACTTAGCCCCCAAACCTTATTTCTTTTCAGCCTGTCTTTTGTTTTATGTAACCATTCCTCTCCCACTGTCCTTTACTTCACTCCCTTTCTCCTTCATCTTATCAGCCCCCTTGTTTAGTACTTGGACAAAATATTTCTCGTCCGTTACCTTGGTAACAGGCCCGTACAGAGTAGAGCTGTGTACAAAAGAGATGGGGAGAGAGAAAGAAAGGGGCTAGCGATGTCCAAAATAATGCCCCACCGGCAGTGGGTAGTGTTTCTGTTGGCCAACTCTTGTTAGGCAGCCGGAAGCCAGG